GCATCCAAAAGGTTTCTGCATGCTACTGCCTCCCTGTGACCGCCAGGAAAACATAAAAACATGAAGATGAAAAGTCGAGTCACTGGGCAGCTGACGCGACGCCGGCCTGTAATTTAAAGGAGGAGGGTGGTGGTGAGTTCACGGTGGCCATGATGCTTCTTTATCTGCTGAAGTTGTTTTGGTTTGAGGTCGGTCGGGTTCTGGCAGGAGGCCCAACGTCATCGCCCAGCGGGGGACATTTGTATAGTGTGGTTCATTTTCTAAATGTGTGATAAATAAAAACAAGGAAAGATTTCTCTAAACACTTTCTTCCGACTTTCTTTTGTTGAATGCAAAGTGTTTCCAGCGCTCAGTCTTCACCTAAGATCTAATTATCCAAGAAATTCACTCTTTTCATTGATCGACGTAATACTCAATTTATGACAGTTTTTGTAACATTGCCTGTTCTTAATCTGTGCTGGTGTTAAAGGCCATATTGATTTTTTAATGGGACTTTGAATTTGATAACTTGTAAGACACAGAATATGACATTTAAGTTGAATTAAACTCTTGGTATTTTTTCAAAAAAGTAGCCGTTGAGCACGTTTAAGCAGAATATTCTATTAGTCAACCGAAATGTTCACATCTGCAGCAGCGGTCCAGTGCGATGAATAAAGTTGCTCCAGACGCTTGAAATAAAACCAAGAAACAATTTACAATATTTTAATTTGCTTCACTTTGAACAGCAAAATCCCTGTAAAACTTTACAAAAATCAGCACCTGTGTCATCAGAGGAGGAAGTGCTCCTTGTTCAAGAAGAAAAGTCCAGCTGTAGTTCAGGTTTTAATAGTAACAAGTGATTTTATGCTTTGAGAATTAGTCTTTTTCAAATCTTTTTTTCAACACAAATTGACGTTTGGAGACGTAAACAATCCAGGTGTGTCTTTGTAATATTTTGTTACTCAACCGTCTAATCAGATAATGTTTGAAGTTGCTGGTTTAATGAACCCAAACTCCAGAAGAATGAAAGCAGCTTCGGGGATCGATCAGTCTGATCCCAAACCTGTCACCTGATTTGTCAGAAATGTCAATCCAAAAAACCACCTGAGTTTTTCCAAAAGTCTCCCAAAGAGAAGCACCACGAGACGTTGCTATGGAGCCTAATAAAGCCCAGGCTTAAGATTAAACGTCGGCAGGCTGGTTTGTCTTTATGAAAGGCCGAGCACCAGAAGAAGAAAGTCAAAGGTGTGATTGTTGGTACGTTAATATTAAAAAAAGGCTTTTTCAAGGAGAAGAAACTAAGTATTAAGAACATATTCATTCATTCTTTCGCTCCTGTGATCAGCAGCTTTTAATCCACATCACCAGAATATCTCTAACCCATATTTAACAATTAGCTTGTTAAATAAACGAGAATGGATGAGAGTTGTGTTAATATAATGTTCACAAAATTAATTGAATTAATATGGATTCAATGAGTTTTTTGGCCTAAATAGATTTGGTTCTTGGAGGATTAAATAAATCCCTACAAGTTAAATGTAAGGAAAATGAAATGCAGGCAGTTTTGGTTGAGTTTGTTTAGAAAAAGAAAAAAGCAGCTTGTTGATCTGCTTCCTGTAAGTAGTCCTGGTTGTTTTTTCACATTTAGCACCTGAAGCAACGACACACAACCGGAACACCACAGACAGACAGACACACACACACACACACACACACACACACACACACACACACACACACACACACACACACACACACACACACACGCACACACACACACACACACACACACACCTGGTGACAGAGTGCTGGTGCTCGGACGGTCTCGTAGTGCCGGATGTTCTAGAGGCCCTGAAGGCACATATCCAACAAAATAAAAGTTAGTATTTGATTATCAACAATAAAAGGAAAAACTGCTGTTTCTCTCATTGTTATAATTGTGAAGTGAATATTTTTTAGTTTTGGACTGTTGACGCACCGAAGTAAACATTTGATTTTCAGCACTGAATTGTTTTTTAAATTGTCCAACCCGACAGACTAAATAAATAGTTTCAAGTCTCCTCCCTCCCTAAAAAAAAATTATATTTGTATTACTTTGTACGAACAACAGTACGAAACAAGAATATTCAGTTTCTATAAGAGTGAAAAAGAATCCAGATCAGAAGACAATCGTGACAAGAAAAAAACAAAATATAAAAGTAGACGAAAAGGTGGTTAAAGAAACCAGAAAAAACAGCATCAAAATTCGGCTTCAAAGATTCCCAGTTTCCTTGAAGCTTTCTAGCGTTTTTGACGAGTCGTCTGGATTTCCTGAAGTAAAGGAGTGTGTGTGTGCGTGCGTGCGTGCGTGCGCGTGTGTGTTGAGTGCGTTGGCGGTTGTCGTCGAGTCCGGCGGTGGAGGTCCGGGTCAGGCGAGCTCCAGCTCTCGCTCGATGCCCACGTACTTCAGAGCGTCCGCCTGGCTGTACCTGCAGCACCAACACGTCGTTAGCTTAGCATCGGACCAACACGTCGTTAGCTTAGCATCGGACCAACACGTTGTTAGCTTAGCATGTTTTAGGAAAAACATTGACAATATAATTCAACCACTAAAATAACTTTTTGTATTCATCTTATATCCATTTTTATCCGAACCCTTGAAACCTAAAATATGGAGACAGAATCGTTTACATCTTCCTTCCAATGAAAAAGTGTGAAGAGTTTTTCTAAACGCAATGAAAGGCGTCGCGGCGGCAGAAGACGAAGACTCGCCTGTAGTCGAAGAAGAGCTCCTCCCCCGTCTGGATGGCTCTCTTGGCGAAGATTCCTATCCGGTGATCCCCGTTCACCATCATCACTGCAGAGGAGAGAACAGAGGGAGACTCAGCGAGGCCGCCAACACCACCCGCGGACATCCAAGCTCCTCCCCCTCCCCCGCCCACCTTTGGCGTAGCAGTTGGGGTTCACGGAGTGGTTGGCGAAGCGGATCTTGTTGCCTTTCCTCGTGGCGTCGACCACGAAGTCTGCGAGGGAAAGACGTGCGGAAAGCTTTCTCAACAACAAGGACAACCGGACTGTTACTGTGTGTGTGTGTGCGTGCGTTTCGTACCGTTGTTGAGGTTGAAGAGGAAGCTGCACATATATTTGTCGTAGACTTTCCCTCGGCGGTCGGCTTCGTCCTGAGAGATAATCTGCAACCACGAGGTCCACATTTTTAAACACTTAAATAAAACCTTTTATTTTCCGATGGGAAGCAGTTGATATTTATATATATTAATTATTATATAAGTCAGATTGTCAACTTTTACTACACGTGACGCGAGAAGCGAGGTCCCACCTCTCCGCAGTACTCGGAGATGAACTCGTTCTTCTGCACCGGCTCTTTGATGAAGATCCCCCAGCCGGCCACGTCCGACGGCGCCAGCAGCAGATGCTGAGAGAACGAGGGAGAACATCTGGAGTCAAAATACTAAAACTACAATACTGGGTTTTCAAAATAAGAGCGTCTGAGAACAGACGTCAATCTATGCGTTCGGTTCATAGACGAGTGGAAACCTTCTTGGCGCCTCTCTGGATGGAGCAGTTCTTGCAGGACACGTTCTTGCTGTCCCAGTTGTCCCCGGCGCCGCAGGTCAGGCAGAGGTCGGGGTCGCACTCCCTCACCGCCAGGTAGCAAGGACACTGCTTGGTGTTGCACTGAGCCTTGCACCGACACCCCGGGAACCGGTTCTGACCTGGTGGGCAGAAGGGAAGGGTGGGGACAAGGTTCAGTTCTCGGGGAGTAAAGCGCTGTGTGTGTGTGTGTGTGTGTGTGCGCGCTCACACTCTGAGCTGCACTGGCAGAACTTCTCGCAGAAGTTCTGCGCGGTGACGCAGGGACACGAGGAGTCGCAGGGCTGCCGCGGGTGGTCACATGGCTGGTAATTGTACACGTGATTGGACGAGCCATCTGGAAGAGCGGGAAGAGGTGAGTGACTCCGACACATTTTCTCAACCCCAATTCTTCTCCCGGATGACCTCTGACCTTTCTTCAGCTGGATCTTCCTGCAGTGAGTGGCCCACAGTCGGTGTTTCCTCTTCTTCTTTCTCGGGGGCGTGTCCTCGTCTTCGGCGGGGGCCCGCGCGATGATGCTCGACTCCTTGACCCTGAACTCGTAAACCTGCGGGAGAAGTGAGAAGAATAAACGAGCGATTATTAGCGAGCGTGACGTTCTGAGCCGCAGAGCCCAGCGAAGCTGCCGGCACGACGCTCACCTGTCGGCAGGTCTTGGTGCCGATGAGCCGCGCGATGGCGCAGAAGTTGTCATAGTACGTCCCGATGAGGACGCGGAAGAGCGATGCCTCGGCGCCGCTCCACTCCACCGCCTCGGCCTCGCCGATCAGCTTCATCTTCACCGGCGTCTGACAGCGCGAGTTGCCTTCTGGCGGCACGAGCACGCTTTAATAACCGTGGACTAAAAAGAACCGTCGCTGCGAGCGAGAGGAGAGAAACTGCACCTGAGCTGCTGCTGCTGCTGTTATCGTCCTTCTTGTCTTCGTCTTCTTTGTCTTCGTCCCGCCGGTCGTCCTTGTCTTCCTCGTCGTCGTCGTCGTCCCGCTCGCCGTCTTTGCTGCCCTCGCGCTCGCTGTCCGTGTCTTTGGTCTCCGAGGAAACGGAGGGCGTGCCGGGTCGGCTGTTGGCCAGTCGCCCGCGGCGACGCCCCGCCGGGCGCTTGGAGGGCGTCTTGGTTCGCTCCGCCGCAGCTACGGCGCCCGCCGGGTACTCGCTCGCCATCCCACCCTGACCGATCACGGTAAACTTAAATACACAGGGATGTTCTTCAGACCGCCGCGCGCTGAAAGAACGAGGACTCACCTGAACCAGGTACATGTAGCAGTCCACGCCGCAGGGTTTGCTGTCCACCAGGTTCTCCAAGTTCTTGCGCTTGTAGGTGTTTGGCGTCGCGTGGAAAGCTTGAGGACACGAGGACGAGGAGGAGCGTTAAACGCCACAGACAACGCGGTTCAAGGCGCTGCTGACGGAACACGAGCCGCGACTCACGGTGCAGGAAGCAGTCGTACTTGAAGCAGCGCCGGCAGAACAGCGTGTGGAACGAGTGCAGGCTCTGCTCGCGCTGCACCGAGCGGGCGTTCGGCCCGTCGATGTTGGGCGTGCACTCGGGCGGCAGCGCGCCGGGCAGCTGCTGCTCCGTCAGCTCCTTGTACCTGACGGAGGGGAAACCGATGCCTGTAGTCATGAACTCGATGAAGCAAACGCCTGACTGAGGCGTCCGCTCGCCGTTTGACCACAAGCGACTCTTTCAGACCATTGAGCGAATAACAAGACTCACTTAGCTTCACAAATTTAGCTTAACTCTTATCTATAAACTATCCGTTTATATATATATATACACTAATATACTCCGTGTACATTAGTCCGACTTTCTCAAAAACAAATTGACTGTTTAACATTAAGATGCATTAAGACAATCTGCATCAAACCAAAGCCAGAATTACTCCGTATCGACTCTAATCGTCATGGTTACCAGACTAAACCCACTAACTTCTCTTTGAGCTCCTCCGTGGAGCCCTTGTCAGGGAACATGGAGGAGATGGCCTCAAAGATCTTGTCAGAGGGAAACTTCTTGGTGCCGTCATTGCTGGTTCGGCCTGTAGACGACACACACACACACATACACATCAGGGGACACAACTCACTTCCTCTTCACGTTCTCTTAGTTTCGAAAACCGGTTCTTCCTCAAATGTTAGTGCCAAAGAGGAATTCCTGCTGCCTGAGACATCGGGCTCATAATCTCTTTGCCCTCGTTGTGTTATGAAGTGGTACGAGCACACGGACAGCTGTTAAAATGCTGCTTCTAAAAAAAGCACCAACACCACCAAAAAAGGACATTACAGCACCCCGAAATTATCGGAAAGGTTTTGATCGCACTGGAATCCCACTAATTGTAAAATATTATGTGAGAAGTACAAATAACGTGACTTTGTTTCTCTTTTTCTTCTCCACTAAACAAGTACAAACAAACCGGAATGGAAAAACAAATAGTGGCTCCGTGGTGTTTGTGTCGGCCTCTTTCAGTCGACTTACAGGTGGGGGCTTCCAGTTAGAGCTTCATTATGTTTGTTACACGCGATCACTTAGCACACGCTAGCATCAACAGTGCTTTAGAAAGAACACCATGTCATATATATATATGCTTATACGTTCTCGTGACCCGGATGACCTCACAGACGGACTCACTCTCATGGTTGACGAGGCCGTCCCTGCGCGGCTCCTCCGGATGCTCCTTCCCGTCGCACACCTCCATCTTCTCCACCTTAAAGTCCTGCTCTTCGTCCTCCTCCTCGTCCTCGTTGTCGCTGTACTGCGACAGGGAGCTCACCAACTCCACGAAGATCTCGTCGTTGATGAAGCCGCACTCTGCCAAACACGACACGCGGATGCGTATTTATAACGGGGTGTTTTGTTTGACCTTTGACCCCTGCGTGACGCACGGGCCCTCACCTCTGTCTCCGTGGACTTTGCCGTCGTAGTTCTTGATGAGCTCTTCTATGAAAGTGCCGTCCTGGTCCAGGATCTCGTCTCCCATGTAGGGGATGTTATGGAGCACCGTCTCATCCTCCACCTGATGCCAAAAAACACACATTACACATTGAGCCTGAATAAATACAGCATGCTACATGCTACATGCTACAGCACAGCAATACGTGCCAGGCTCCCTGCGGCCCCTCGTTCCCACCATGAAGTTCTGCTGCAGCGGCGACCAGGAGTACATGACGGGCACCGAGGCCACGGCGTTGAGAGTCTTCAGGGGGATGACCTGCCGGGGGAACTCGGAGAAGCCGCTGTCCACCGTGCACTGCGCAGAGAGGAAAAACCTGCGCTGTCAGAACCTTTTCTACAGCTTCCCCCGACGGAGACCTTTCCTCGGGCGCTCATCCACCGACCTCTCGCGTGCCTCTCAAGGAGCCGACGGACGTCATGACGTGAACCGGCTGGATTCGCCTCGTCTTCCACTCCTGGTTCAGAATGTCAGTTCTGTCCACGATTTTCTGACGGTTGGTGTTGAACATGCTCTGGACAGAGAGAAAATACATTCAGAGGAAGGAGAAGGAACCAGAGACGAGTCAGCCACAACGCGGCGCCATTTTGACAGCCGCCAAAGAACGACGCTCGGACTGACAAAATCCATTTTACTGCCAGGTTTCAGTGGACATTTGATTATTGATGGACAGAACGAGGCTTCTGAATGTGACAGATGCCATCCAGATGTGTAATACTACACAAAAGGACTTTTATCTAATGCACATCAGAGCATTTATGGCTTAAGTGGCCCAAGTGAAAGGTGTCCTAAGTGATTAAAAAAAAGAAGTAGTAAACAACGTTTGTTTCTGTTGTGTTTTAACAAAATACTTTATAAGTTAAGAAAGCATAAATAACTTTTAACTTAACAAATGTTCTGAGTAATTGACTGATCACGCATGTGGGTCTTGGCTGCTGAGAAGTTCTGTTATGTTTTATACCACTGTAATATATTTGAGTGCTACAGGTGAGCCCGTGTCCTCGGCCACAGGTCCGGTTTGACTACGGCTCCGGTGTGCATCAGTGTGGCGTGAAGGTCTCGCCGTGTTGTGTGCGGACGAACCTTGACCTCGTCGGCCCGTCGGAAGCGCTTGAGCTGTCGCAGCCTCATGTACTCAGACTTCACCCTCCTCTTCCAGCAGGCCGGACCTTTCTCCGAGCGCTTCCCTGTCAGCACCATGATCGACCTGTAAAACGGAAACCGGGAGGCGGATGAAGGTTTCTACAACGCTGAGGCATTTTTAATCCTTTGGGACACTTCTCCGGGACTTGGATTGTGAGGCTGAACAAAAGAAAGATTTTTCTTTATGGAAATAGAATGAAAGAAATCTAAAAAGTAGGAAGCCGTTTAAGAGCGTGACCCGATTGTCCTCGTTCCTTTTGGCAAATCTGTCGTCAACTGGGGGAAGCGCAGCGGGAAATGAATGTGTTCCTTTGTAGATTACAGACATCTGTCCATCCAGCTCTCACACAAGTTTACACGTGTCGGCCGTGAAGGTCCGAAGAAAAGCAGCCATGTTTGCAAATAAAAATGTAGATGTATATCGGGCAAATGATTATAAAAATAATAATAAAAGGACATTGTCATTTCCGGAGGTGATGATGGACTAAATGAAATAGCTTTAAAAGGTGTGACAAACACATTGAAGCTGACAACATGTGAAGTTTCAATCACTCCCATGTTCACATCTCATCATCCAACTTCACACTTGAGGTAGAAGTCTTTGTAAGAAAGTCCTAAATCATCACGTACAACCCAACAAAACCTTACATTAAATATGTATCACAATGGTTAAAACTACAGGATTGTAATGAAATAATATTTTATTGCAATAATGCATAATTCTAGGGAAATAAATATTATTATTTTTCTATTTGGTTTGTTGCTAGCTTTACTTTTGTACTGTCATTGTGATTTAGTGTTTTGTTTAAATAAAATGTTAATATGGCCTGTAAAAAAAAATTAAATAAAGTGAAACAGTAAAAGAAAAAAACTTTTATTCTGACACAAATGTTAGTTTATGGCTGAGCATGTTGAAGTTATTTTGTTTGTGTCTTTTAATCGCACTTATCATGCTGTCCAATCACAATAAAGACTCCATCGATCCTCACGGGGTGAGATGCTAACAACAAGCAGAGCTCTAAGCTAACGATAGCTTGTCTGACGTCGTGCCAAGTTTGTATCCCATCAAAATGAGTGTATCGTGTCATAAAAAGCTGGTAAATATGATTTTAAAGCAGCGGCCACTGACAGCGCTTCTTACCTTCACGGGAGGATCAGTCCTCATCCGTCGAAGTTATTCGGGATTGGCAAACACCGGGCAAAGTCGTCCTTTGTGTTGTGCGGGTGGGTGGGGGGGGGATTAGCTGGCTATTGCTAGCTCTGAGGTTAGCTCGGCAGCTAGCTAGCAGCTAGCTCGGTGAGGAGGGAGCGGATCACTTTGCGCGACACCGGCTTTTCACGTCCCCAGAGTCGGCGAACAGACCGAAAACCTGCCGTTACCCGCCGCTTTTGAACCGGCGTTGTCACAAAATGCACCGTGTTTGTGGATGGAGAACACAACAGTTCAAATTCCACCCGACAAATTGTCAAATTTCAATGTTTCCGCGTCGGCACAGCCACGGTTCAAACTGCTCACCGTCTCGCATTCGCCGCCCACTAAGGCTGAAGCAGATTCAAGAGGCGCCAAACGCTTTGGACCAATCGGAGGAGCCGATGTTGGGGCTCCTCAGTGTCATGTGACGCGATTGGTCGAGTGGATAAACGTGCCAGCCAATGAGGACGTGCCGTCAAGGCATGTAATAAAACCATGTGGACAGGTTCTTTGTTCTCTCTTGTGTACAAATCGAAACATAAAACAGCTTGGTGGTAGTGACAGTAAAAATAAAAGACAACCACATTAATGTTTAATATTTCATTATTAACCAGTGCCAACTGTCATGCCTACATTGGTGAGCAAAGGATGTTTAATAGAAACAGACAATAGTAGTTACTAGGAATGTAAAGGCACATCGTCTCAATTTCAGCTAGCATATGATGTATGAGTAATTTTACTTTAAAAAACAAAACAAAAAAACAAGCCAACTTGCTGAATGAACGAGGTTCCTGGTCAACAGACAGCATGGGTTGATGGGTTTATTAAGCCACGCCCCTTCTACGCGTGGTGCGTTCATGGTAATTGGAAGTCCAAAAATTTGGGTTCTTTTATTTTGTTTAGTAAAGTAAATATTATATATATATATTCTTATACTTGATACCCAAACAGCTATTTATTAATTTGTAATATATATAAATAGCTGTTTGGGTGTCAAGTATAAGAAAACCCCCAAAAATAAAATAAGAAATTGGACAGAAAATATCTATTCACATAGCTTATATATATATCTATATATATATCTATATATATATATATATATATATATATATATATTCACAAGCTTATATATATATATATATATATATATACAGATATATATATATATATAAGCTATGTGAATAGATATTTTCTATATATATATATATATATATATATCACTATTGTCTTTTACTTATGTTAACCAATATATCAATGTGCTACTAATTATATTGTATTGTATGTCTGTTGATTTAAAGTAGTGATTTGATTATTCAATCATTCTTTTTTATTATTCTATCTTTTCTTTACTTATGTAGAGGAGTAGGACAATAATAGGGAGAAGGACAGAAAAAAGAAAACAAAGCCGATCAGCAGATAAACAGCTAAATCCATACATATTTAAATTATTATGAGTAGCAACTCACTGATTACAGACTCCATGTTTGTTTAGTTTAGTATATGCATTCTTTAAGTAAACTTGGTTATTTTTTACTCCAACATAAACGTTTGGTCCCCCATTTATGTTGGAGCCATTGAGACGGGTTGTATCACCACAGGTCTTTCTCATTTCCAGATTTTGTGCTTCCTTAATTTCCTTTCCTCACCTCCTTGCTCACAGAAGATTGGATGGGAGGAGATGAAGAGATGAGTAAGAAGTGAGAGGACAGCAGCTCTTTTAAAGTTGTAAAGTGTCAGGACTAAAATTGCCCTAAAACATGATGAAGATAAATGTAAAAGGTTATTAAAGAATTGTGTTGAAGGAGAAGCCAATGACATGCAAACGCACCCAAGAAGACACATCAGGAGTTTTCAAAGGACCAAAGCGGGGAAAGGTCTGTTAGAATTCTCCTGCAGCCGCTTTGATAAGTCACTTTAGACTAGAGAATTCTCTATTTCGTGAAATATTTTACTGTTTGCATTGTATTTCACTTTGTAACTGGATTCTTTTTCACTTTGTTTAGTTATTAAATACTTATTGATTCTTAAATTTGGATTTCCGAACCCTTAACATTCTTCAGGGTCCATTTTAGGAATTGGGATCTCCTCCAAGATGGAGCGCTGTGATGGACTTCTGGGTAAAAGGTCGTACGAATCGATAAGCGACAAATCAGGGAAAACTACAAAAGACCCCATTATCTCAACTACTAAATGTGAGATTGTGAGAAGCATCAACAGTAAACAGGAAGTCCTTTCGGCCGGCAGAGGAACGGCTTCACGACAACCGCAGGTCTTCACAGAGATACGGGTCGACTTCCTTGAGGAACTCGATCATCTCCAAACTGGCGTCATCGCCCTTCCTCCTCACGGCGTCGATGACAAAGCGAGCTCTGTCGCTGTTGTTCGGCTCCGCCTCCGCTGCCTCCCTCTCGCGGTCATTGATCACCCTCTTCTCCAACAGTCGGTCCAGCAGACTCTTGAGCACAGGTCCAGAGATGCTCTCGATGAAGCCGGTCTGTACCTCCAGCAGCCTCTTGCTGTGGACGGGGTCCAGAGCGCTCGGCCTGCGGGACGCCACGACCGCGTCCGAGAGGCCGACTCGTCTTTCCCAAACGCTGAGGGAGCCGTCGCCTTCTTTCAGAAACAGCTTAATCTCTTTCAGCCTCGTCTTCAGCTTCACCTGGAAGGACGGGATGTAGTTGTCGTAGTTGCAGCGAAACTCGGCCTTGGTGGGCTGAACTATGACCCGGTCGTCCTGGGGACTGGTGGAGAGGACGTACTCCCGGCCCGGGTGCAGTTTGCATTGCGAGGTCGTCTCTATGTAGGACTCAGGCCCGACCAGCCTCTTCCTGTCACGCAGCACCTTTTGCAGCACCACGTTACTCGGCAGCATCAACACGTTGAGGAGCGACTTGGGCTCCGGGTCCTCTGGGGGCCGATAGAGGAGCAGCATCTTCAACACGTTGAGGAGGGACTTGGGCTCCAGGTCCTTTGGGGGCTGATAGAAGAGCAGAACCAGCGCTTGGACCGGCTGGGGGGGCGAGTCCACGTCCTTGACATTACCGAAATCAGAAAGCCCCGAGACGTCCACCACGACGTGAGTCTCCGTCACCTCCCTCGGGCGGAGGAACTCCACGCCCTCGTCTTTCACATGAGCCACCGACAGGAAGTCGCCCCCCCCGCCACTCTGGATCTCGCAGTGAGGGAGGTGAAGGCCGAGCACGGACCCACGCTCGCATTCGATGTTGAACAAGGGTCCCGCGGGCTTCTTGTGATGGTGGGCCAGCAGCCTCCAGTCCCAGGGGACGATCCTGTAAACCACTTCCCCCCCCTCACCCCCCATGTGGAACACCAGGCCGGTCACGCTGCACAGGTACAGACCCGGACCGGAGCACCGCAACCTGAAGGTCTCGTCGTCCTCATCGGTCGTGATGTCGGGCGTGAACTCCTGTTGACCCGCCGCCGGTGAAGCGCCGGTGACCGAGTGGCTCGCGGCTGCAAAGGAAGCGGCCGTTTCCGTCAGAACGTCGGCGTCTCCTCCCGGCTCCCTCTCGTGCTCTGTGGGGGAAGACTCAAACGCATCGTAGCACCGCAACCTGAAGGTCTCGTTGTGCTTATCGGTCGTGATGTCGGGCGTGAGCTCGAAGCTGCTTTTGACGAACATGTTGGGTGAGCTTGGGTCCTGAAAGGGGGCCCTGACCTCCACAGAGGTTACCGGACTCAGTGGAGACACGCTGCTAGAGGGATAACTCTCGTAACTGGAGTCACAAGACGTCGCGGAATCTCTTTTTCTCCTTTTCTTTCTCCCGGAGCTTTGGCCTTCTGCGGTTCTCTTACGGGGTTCTCGAAGTGTAGGCGATCTCAGGGGAGATTTGACCTTTGTAGGCCTTGGCCAACCTGCTGAAGCGAGTCGCCTGCGAGTCGTCTTTTTCCGGAACCGTTCCTTGGTGGCCTGAAAGGAGGCCCTGACCTCCACAGAGGTTACCAGACTCAGTGGAGACACGCTGCTAAAGGGATAACTCTCGTAACTGAAGTCATAAGACGTCGCGGAATCTCTTTGCGTCCTTTTCTCTCTCCCGGAGCTTTGGTCTTCTGCGGTTCCCTTACGGGGTTCTCGAAGTGTTGGCAATCTCAGGGGAGATTTGACCTTTGTCGTGACCTGACCGTGGAGGAGAGGCCCTGGCCAACCTGCTGAAGCACGAGTCGTCATTCTCTGGGCCCGTTCCTTGGAGAACGCCATCGTAGTGGCGCTCACAGAGGCGACAGAAGTCCGCAGGTCGCTTCGCTGGTTATGAGGTCGCTTTAAAGACGGAAGTGTGGAAGATGTGTTTGAACTCCCCTCTGGTTGTTTCTCTGGCTCTGGTCCCTGAAATAGAATTACAAGAATGTAAATCTATCGCTGTTATACTGTAGAATATTATGAACAAACTGACAACTGCGTTCATAAATTAAACCGATAGTGTAATACCGAGGTAATGTTGTAATTTTGAAACCGCAATCGATAGAATACCAATGCAGCTACAATTGTATTCATGATAATGTAATCAACAAAAATACATGCATGTAATACTTGTTCTTTTTTACCTTCTCTTTTATTAAATACTTTTGACCTTTGAATTTTAACCTTTCGATCCACGATGTCCTTTGTCCGTCTGGCGTTTCTTCATTTTGAACACAACATTGCCTTTCACGTTTCATATTGAAATGTCTTGAAATATTACCGTATTAAAAATCACGTTGAAATGTGTTCTAAACATAGACGTCTTTTAAACGTCTTTTCAACCAAAAAATGCTCCCTACGTTGTATCCTATGCAACAGAAAAATAAGTCCTTGCATACAAGTTAATAAATGTGTTTGCTGTTGTGGTTTTTATTGACAACATTGATGGAATCTCCTCTGCCTTAACATCGCAAAATGACTTTTAACTGAAAGTAATTTTAAATTAGTAAAGGTAATTATAAATTAACTGATTTCATTTGAATTTAAAGTAACCGGAAAATGTTCTCTCTCAGCTTGAAATATATCATGCTCCAGAGGAGCAGCGTATCTTCCTAAATTATATGAAATAATCAGATTATCTTCATTATAGGTTTGGGGCTTTTTAAGGCTTTTATTGTCAAGCTCAGCAGGTTGCTAGGCAACGGGAGCAGGAGGTACAGCTGATGACGCAGAGACTGCTTTTAGTCTCTGGTGGTACAGTTTCTTCAGTAACCTCCCCAGGTGTTGGAGGGGAGGTCACAGAAGAAACTGTTATCCATATTGGATAATCCTGACCACCACCTCCACCACCTGCTACAGGGACAGCGGAGCACGTTCAGACTGCTTCAGCTCCGCTGTCACAAGGACCGATACAGGAGATCATTCCTGCCCAGTGCAATAACACTTTACAATAAATCATCTCTGGCCAAATGACTGCTGCTCTTCCTCTTTGCCTTTTCCATATGATGTGTATATTAATTCTATTTTCTTCCCTGTACATGCTGCTGTGACACCAACATTTCCCTCTTGAGGGATCAATAAAGTATCTATCTATCTATCTATCTAGTCCATTAACTTTATTTTTTGCTAATACATTTTTAAGCTGTACTTTTACTTGTAACAGACCAATTGTATTAATACTTAAGTAACATATTTTAAACCCTCTTCAATCCGTAACAAGACATGTCAGAGTTGTTCCATTAACTCTCATAAAGATGACTAATATCAAGTCAATATAAGCAAATACACATAATAATACAAATATGACAGATTGAAGGTGAATGTAAAAAGAGGAGCTTGAGAACTAAAACAGACCACAAAACCGACAGAAAATGAACCCAGATCACAGGAAGATCACAAACATCTACCAGGAAATAAATGACATTAGAAATATATATTATGAGGCATATTTGATTTCAACCCCATTAAAAAGCGGTGGTGGAAGAATGTTTACTTCAGTAGAAATACAGTAATACCAGTGTAAAATTACTGGCAGTACAAATTGAAAGAAATTTAAAATACTTAAGTAAAGACATAAAATTGTATGAATGTACATCACTAAGGACTAAGTATTTTGAACAAACCAAAGTTCTGATTCTCTCAAACACACCTGTTATTAGAAGTCACGGACGTTCTCCCTCCAGATCGCTCTCAGACTCAAGCCTAGTTCATCCTGGTGGCGCTCAGGAAGGCGACAGGAAGTCAGCAGGTCGCTTCTCTGGTTTTGAAGTCTCTTACGAAAGTGTTGAAATGGTGTTTGAACTCCCCTCTGGCTGTTTCTCCTGCTCTGGTCCCTGAAGTAGAATCACAAGAATGTAAATCCATCGCTGGTGATCAATGTAATTGTTGGAATGCATTAAGCATTCCAAGTATTGTTCTTCGAATCTTTATTTCTTCATCTTCTATTTCTTCCGCCGCACCTTTCAACTCCTTCACAATTTCAGCTATTAAAACCGTTCAAATATTAAAATGTTCAGCTCCTTTCTGGCTTGAGGGCTATGACTTTTCAGCTTTCTACTTCTTATGCTTGAATTTATATAAATCAATAATCATTAATATTTTAACATGGTTTTCCAATGGAGATTGTTTTCAAATCCTCTTTAAACTTCAACTTTCAGACTTTTCAGCTCCGCCAATCTTTCAGCGACACCATTTCAACTTTCAAATGTTGACACAGGTCTCAAGTAGTTTATGAAAAAAACTGCTTGTTGATATCTATTGTACTTTTTTCATAATCACTGATTATGTTTCACTAGTTCTTCGCTGAACCTTTCAACTCCTTCATACTTTCAGCTATTAAAACCATTCAAATATTAAATTATTCAGCTCCTTCAGGAGAGAGGGGGTATTGCTTTTCAGCTTTCTAGCTCTTAAGCTTGAATTTAAATAAATCTATAATCATTAATATTTTAACATGGTTTTCCAATGGAGATCGTTTTTCAAATCCTCTTAAACTTTTAAATTTTCAGATTCTTCAGCTTCGCCAATTTTTCAGCTACAGACACCATTTAAACTTTCAAATGTTGACACAAAACTGCTTCTTTTTTCATAATCACCGATTATGTTTCACTAGTTCTTCGCTCCGTTTCTGACTTCTACATGAGTGTGTATTGCGTCTGCTAGAGTGAGACCCGGAGATCTTAGAGTGTCGGGCAGCGTCAGAATCTGGTTTAAAAAATATTTTCTGTCCTTGCAGCCAAAGTATACACTCTCTACGCGAAGACGTGATTTCAACGTATTTAATTTTTCACTTAAAACGTCATAAATACGAAACTACGGACTGTGCGCTGTTAATAAGATGCTTTTAGGACATAAAAATAATAATGCGGGCAATTTCAAACATTACTTGTAAACATGTAACTCCGCTCACATCTGTAACGCGCATGCCCGAGTTCTTAGACGCTTGGAGATCTTCGACTGGACGCAGCACGAGGCAAAGTTACGGCAGCGGAGCGACATGAACGGGCTGATAGAACCACGACTACCGGCTCCACTGCTCTGTAAGTACGGGAGTGTTTGGATGAAGCACACCTGGAACTATAACCGGGTGTTTTACTTCTGCTGCCCACCCGATACGGGAAACATTGTTCTTTTTGGTGAGCTAGTTAGCGTTAGCTAGTTAGCATGCTAGCTTGGAGCATGCTAGCTTTCAGCATGATGACCTGGACCAAAAGTAAACATCCCAGAATATTTTTCGTGTGTTTGGTGTTGGTAATGCGTTAGGTTGTTGCTGTACCCATAAATATTTTTGCCTTTCCCATTTCATATTGAAAATACGTTTTTAAAGCAATGGGGGCTAAATACATTAACAAGCGTTGAATTCAACAAGTTATGGTCTGTAAACAAGAGGCGAAAACATTGTAAGTTACTGCTGCTTAAAGCATGATACTGTGTAAAACCTGGAGATGTTACTCCAGAAATGCAATGAATTGATGAATGTTACCTTGTTTATGTTATAAGTAAACAATATTAAGACTTAAAGATGGAGTGAGCTTAAAGCCCAAATCGATCCTTTAGCTACTTTGATCACAACTGATGACCCGAATGATCTTTTATTCGTGAGTGCTGCTGTTATAATTATTATCAGTGACTTTATTATTACTGGTTTGTCGCGGAGCCCGGCCGGGCACAGCCCAAAGGAGTGACGCGGCAGCCCAACACTCTACTCCCCATTGGCTCACCACCTGTGTAGGAAACCGATGGGGTCGGGTGCGCTGCTACAAGGGTGGCAGTGACAGTGGGGAGTCTAGACGGAACATGCCTGGGCAGCAGATGCTGGCCCTGGGGACGTGGAACGCAACCTCTCTGGGGGGGAAGGAGCCGGAGCTTGTGCGGGAGGTGGAGCGTTATCAGTTGGATCTGGTGGGGCTAACCTCTACGCACAGCCCCGGCTCTGGAACCACACTCCTGGATAGGGGGTGGACTCTATTCTACTCCGGACTGGCCCATGGTGTGAGGCGCCAGGCGGGTGTTGGGATACTCATAAGTCCCCGGCTGAGTGCTGCTACATTGGAGTTTACCCCGGTGGACAAAAAGATCGCCTGGTGGTGGGGGGGGGGGGGGAAACTCTGACTGTTGTCTGTGCGTATCCACCAAACAGCAGAGTATTCGTTTTGGCCTTTTTGGAGTAAATATGGATAAGGACTTTTGGTCGGCACCAAAGTGCTTCTGGAAGACCATCCGGCACCTCAGGAGGGGTGACATATTACAACAGCTATTACACACAATTATCAGCATTTGGTATAAACTATGCGCATGTCCTCCCTGTCATAGAAGGCTTGCTGACAGGGTGGACAATGACAGGGTGGGATTTTTTTGCTAATTTTAGCATTTAATGAGCACATGTTGGACCTTCAGTTCAAATATGATTCAGTTAGCAAGGTGACAGTGTACTGTTTTACAAATATATTTCAAAATTATGAAAAGTTTTTATATTAACTCATATTTCACTATGACATAGTGGACATGTTAAGCTTGAAAACATCTGACTACACACATATGATGAAAATGAATAAATACTTTGCAACAAGCCACTGTTTCAGCCTTCATTGAAGAAAGACAAAACGATGGTAATAATGAAGACATCACGGGGTGTCTTAAATGGGCAGTTGCCCCATAATGACAGGGTGGACAGCAATTTCAGGGACACATGCAAAATGTTCAATATGATTATGAAAATAGAATATACATGATCAAAATGACTCATTCAATCAAATAACTTGTTGTGGACAATAAAACTATATATAGTTTTTAATTTAGTCTCATTTAACCTTATTACACATACTGTAGTAAGCAGAGCAGTGTGTGGGACATGCCGGAATCACGTACATCCAATGAAAAATAAAACGAAGGAAACACATTTCAAGAGAATAATGATTGTAGTGAAAAATGTTTGGTCATTTATAATAAGACGGCAGAAACATGTCGACGCACTGGTTTCACTTCCTGGTTGTAAAGTCTTGCGTGTGTTGCAGAGTGATTCACCTCCAGAACAACAGGTGGAGTCACGTGTTTTGTCGAAGACGACCTAGAGAGTCACGTCTTTGTGTGTGGAAGTCGTTGGTTGCTTTATTTATTTATCATAGACTTTATGGCCCCGTGCATCCACACTGCTGCTTTTCATCAAGGACACATTTGTCCCGTATTTTCCTCCATGACTTCACCTCTCGACCGGCAAACCGATGTTTGTGGAGATCTCCCTCCATGGGTCCAACCCGCCAATGACGGCTTGTATAAGCGGTCATATTTACGCATTTCTTCCTACAAAAGTTCTTCAATCTGATCCGTTCTCTCGTAAACATTCTTCGTTTTAATAATGGTGGTATCAGGCTGTGAAAGCGGAGATGTGAGACTCCAAGGACGCAGTTAGCGGACCAATCACAGCCTGGTGCGCTGCGGGAGGCTGCGCTGCTTGCGTCGCTTGAAGAAAATACTCATAAAAGTACAAGTACCCAAAAATCTACTTAATTACAGTAATGTGTATTTGTAATTCGTTGCTTCCACCCCTTACTTACTATTCATAATGTTGCTGGTAACCGTATTATTAAAGCAATAAGGTACTTGAGGCAGTTATTACATTATTGAAGATAAAGTACTGCCTCAACTACCTTATTGCTTAAATAAATTAGAACTTAATTCAGTAGAAATACAGTAGTACCATAGTGTAAAAGTACTCAGTCAAAGAAATGTAAACATACTAACATTACTCTTAATGCAGAGTGGTCCATTTCCCCCGAAACTATATATAATACTATATTATCGTAGAATAAATGTTCATCGTATTAATGCTGCAAACAAGCTTATTTTGGATTACCTGCTGGATACTTCAAGAAAGAAATTAATTTTACTACGCAGTAATTTATTTGATTTTTTGATCTGCAAAAAATCGAAATACTTAAACACTTAAATTGTTGAATAGAAGTACAATTTGAAAGGAAATCAAATAGAGTACAGATTCAAATTTTACCCCAGTACATGTATGTATCCCAAACAAAGAGATCCTAAAATGAATTAACTTCATCTTCGATTCTCTCAAACACACCTGTTATTTGAAGTCACGGACGTTCTCCCTCCAGGCTGGTCTGTCACTTACTGATACTGAACTGAGAGTTCAGCCTTTAAAGTACTTCAGAGAACTGACAAGAATTCAGATTAGGTGGGTGAGGTTGCGTTTCTTCAAAATCTGCGTCAGAGTCTGTGGAATGTTGATTTCCAGGTTACGTGAGAATGCAAGAGTTACTGAATACATTTTTAGATTGCCTTTAAAAATGAAACCGAAAGTAACATAATTGTTTACATGATTTCAATTTATGTTGAGTTGGTTACTTGTATTAACTATACAGGGCATCCGGCTTGATGTTCCTTGACCCGGGACGGTACGTGATAGAAAAATTGAAACGGCCAAAAAATAATGCCCACTGAGCCTGACGGGAATTCAGCCGCTTCGCTGACTGGATGTAGGCGAGGTTCTTGTGGTCCGTCCACACAATGAAATCTCCACTCCCTCCAGCCAATGTCTCCACTCCAATCTGCGTCAGAGTCTGTGGAATGTTGATTTCCAGGTAACGTGAGAATGCAAGAGATACTGAATACATTTTTAGATTGCCTTTAAAAATGAAACCGAAAGTAACATAATTGTTTACATGATTTCAATTTAGTTGTATTTTTTGGACCTTGTTTGAATTCATTTTCAATTGCAGCGTTTTCTGTTAAATGAGCTGTTAAGATGATCAAAGTTTAAAATAAGGTGATCAAATAAAAGTTTAATCTCTGTTGTACAGTTTAAAAAAAGTTTAAAAAAAACTATGAGCTTGCGTTTCAAATGATTCTTTTTTTCTAAAAAAAAAGATGTCCTGCGATACAGTACAAATTTAACCTGCTTTCTGTTTTTACAACGAATTCTCAATTGAGGAATCTTACAAAAATATTTTCCTCACTCAAGACATAGAAGGAACAATAAAACAACAACAATGTAACAAACTCAGGAAGAACAACATGGAAATGGATTAAATCCACCGCGCCGTCAGTGATGATTCTCGTCTCAGACTTCAGGACCTTCTCCTCTGTGGTGTTGTTCACTGTTACGCGATTACCACGAAGAATAAACATATCTTTAGTACACAGTCTGTCTCACTCACTCGAGCAAACGCAACATTTTTTTGTCAGAAGTGCTGTGTAGCTAAAGCAGGATATTGGAATGTTGTACCACCGTGGGGACGTAAATAGAAGTTCGGAAGAGGTGTTCGGTGAAGCTAAATGAGCGATAACGAGCAGGATCGGGAAGGAGCTAGCATGGCGGCTAACACTCCCAACGCCACGTTTAACATCCAGCCGCCGGAGCCCTTCGACTTCTCAAAGCCGAAACGACTGGGCGAAATTGATTCGGAGATTCGAGAGATTCCGTCAGGCAAGTAACCTGTCGGCGAGCTCCGAAGTGAACCAGGTGAATACCCTGATATACTGCATGGGAGACGACGCAGATGACGTCTTAAGAGGCTTAAAACTAAGCGTGTGGGGGGAGGGGGAGTGGCAGGTGGGGACAGAGGACTGGTGAGGACCGGTTTCAGCTGGGAGACGGAGCCCGGACCGGGGCCTCCCCCTCCGCCGCCACGTTAGAGCCACACGCGGCAGCAGCAGAGCTCCGACTGTTGACGCTGTTAATGCACCGTCCCTGAAGAGTTTTTCTTGGCGTGCATTTAGAATCCCTTCGCGTTCATTCCCCCCGTCGGGGCACGCATGAACACCGCGAAAATGCCGGGAGATCGATTCGTTCATAACCACTGCACTCGACATGTTTTTCAGGCAGCATGGGTGGGTGGAGTGCACGAAGGTCCTATTTCATCCAACTATGGCTGACCGCGCCAGCCCGTCGCGTGGTTCCGTGTTCCTCGACAAGCGGAGGCACACACTTGACAGCTGCAGAAAACAACCGTGTAAAAACAAAACTTTGAAAATGGAGGACAGCCGGAAAAACTTCACTGACTGTCAGTAGGAAAAAAAAAAACTGTTAAAATGTGCTCAGCTGGAGGCTGGTGAGAGAGAGAGAGCTACTCTGAATGCCGACTTGTCACTGACGGCGCGAGTGAAGGAGCATTAAGTCCGGCCTGTGTTAGCAGCAAAGGTTCCACAAAAGACTAATAAGCTGCATTACATGTGACACACGTACACATGTGGATAAACACGTCCGTGCAGAGCGAAACGATGTTAAGTGGCAGCCATAATGAGAGCTGGACAAATCCTCTAAAAGCTAAAGGAAAACGGGGCCCAGATGGTTGTTGTGCACTTTGGGTGAATTGAAGATGTCCTCGTGAGGGGATTCTGCTCGGGGCGACTTCGTACATGGAGTGAACATCCACGTGGTCACTGCCTCATGTTCGGTGTCATAAACGCAGTTGCTTTTATCTTGGAGGAAAAGTAGCTCAGCAAAGGTCGTCTTTATTTTTTTCTTTCTCCGCTGCCTCTTCCCTCCCACAATCCCTCCCTCGTGTTCCTCTGACGTCTCCTCTCCCTTTGCATCCAGTGACCTCTGACCCTCCATCATTCCCGCCGGAGTAGCGGTTCGGTGGACATTGTAAAAAGGAGAAGACGGCACAACTTCTTCAGTCTCCTGAGTTAAATATATGCCGCCGACGCCGCGTCCCGAGGACCCCCCCCCCTCCCTGCGGCGCCGCTGCAATCACACAGCCTCCTGCCCTCGCCGCACGCATCATTAGCAGTGGTAGAAAATCCTCTCCGCTGGTCTCGCTACTCGTTTCTGCGTCGCCTAATGATGTCCCCGTCCATCCATAAATTTGTCGTTGTCTGCCGCTTTGAGAATTTGACATGGCAGCGGGAGGGAGGGGGGGCACAGGGATAAAGAGCTCGGCGGACAGGCAGCTAAAACGGGCGGCGGCGGCGGCGGCGGGGAGAGGGGCATTAGTTGAGGGGAAGGAGCAGACTAGTTCTGCCTAAATGGATTTCCTAATGCGTCCTCATCATCAGTACTCTCCTGCTCCCAGTAGTCATGTTGGGCGCCGGCTCGCGTGGCAACTTCCTGATCGGCGCCTCGGCGACCGCAGCTGTGATGCGGCGCCCCCTCCCGCGGCCCCCGGTGCCGCGTGTGGCATTACTATATACCAGACATAACCCGCGGGCCGCAAGTCTCCTGCGCCCAGCGGGGGAACCTGGGACCCGTGACGACGCGTGTGAAAATGTCACGCCACTCGTTTTCTCGTGATCAGATTCCCCCGTACCTCCATCCTACCCCCCACTCCCCCCCTCACGGCGTCAAATAGAGAGCGGCGGGAACAAGGGAGACGGTGTGTGTGTGTGTGCGCGCGCGCTTACTGAGGGTCTCCAGCGTAGCTGAGCTGAGCGGGCCGGATCCCGAAGTGAACGATGATGGGGAAGGTGATGACGTCCGGGTTGAACTGCTCTCTGTCCAGCTGGTCGATGCGCACTGAGCTGGGTTTCTGAGGGGGGGGGGGGGTGTGGGGGTCATGTGACAGTGTAAAAACAAACCCGTCATTCAATCACCAAAATAACAAACAATCCGTGCCACCACGGGGGTCTAGTGATGTCGGGGACGGCGAGCTGAAAGCTTCTATCTGGGGAGGAGACTGACGAGTCACAGATAGCGGCGGGCAGGTGGCTCGAGGCGGGAGGGGGGGGGGGGGCTCACCTTGACATCAGCGGCATACAAACTGGGATTTGAGAGAGCGCGAGGTCGCACGCCGTCGAGTTGAGTTTGCGCTCCACGGTGAGGCCTGATTGGCTGGAAGGAACGCGCTGCACGGCCGACACACTAATTAATATACATCGGGCCGCTGCTGCTTTAATGCGCCGCCGACGTTTGAAGGTTGTTGACATTTGTGCCCGCGCCACTTTGTGCAATAATCACTTGAGCACGGCATGTTTCATTAGCATCGGACCCCTCCATTTGGGGCGGCGCGTGTGACCTTGATGTATCACAGTGGGGGGGAAATGGCATCTTATTGATTGTGGAGCTGCAGCCTTTGAATTCACCCCCACCAGGGACTTATTGTTTTTACCACATGTGAGGGTTGCGATCGTTCGTACATTTGATATCATAATGCATTTTCATGAAGCAATCAACACTTTTCTGGGTTTATTTTTTTCGTAAATCGAATGTCTTTGGGTTGATGTTTTGACAAAACAATTAATTATAAGATGTCACTTTCGGCTCGAGATTGGTGTATTTAAAATATAACTAAATGTGTTAATTGCAGCAGCGAGAGAAAGAAACAATCTGTGAACCCGTCGGCCTGCGGTCTGACAACGACGGAGCTTCTGGGGACGATCGCGATGTCTTTCTCGATTTACAGCCAACAGGGTGAGTTTAATACACTTTGAGTCCACGGATGGAGGACTATTAAACACGCACCTATCTGGAAACCCTGACAGCCACATTTCAGAAAGAGCAGTTGACTCGATAACTCACCCACGCCAAAGGTTACGCAATCATATCCCCCCCCTGCTCGCACGCAACCTTTTAGCAGGCGATGACATCGTCACCTTTGCCGAGGCACAATTACCGCACCTCCTTTAAAATACGGGCCAGACAAGAAGGTTAACCAACTTCCCTGTGACATGGAAGCTTTGGGCAGGACCGGCGTCGATGACAGCCAACGCCCTTGGGGATAATAGGTGAGGCTGCCCGGTGTCACAGGCTAACAAGTACAGCCTTATTCCCGCGGTGTCGGGGTTGGGGTCCAGGGGGGGAGGGGGAGACGCCCTTGGGAAGCAGACAAGGCCGCCTCCTGTCGCAACAGCGGACGCTGAGGCCTTACCATGCCCGGGTTGGTGACGATCATGCCCTTGCACTCCTCGGCATATTTCTGCCACTCAAGCTCCTCCCACTGCAGCATGTCTGCGATCTCCTCCTCGGGGACCAGCGGCTTGCTGCTGCGCAGCAGGTAGAGCAGCACCTGGTGCATGGACAGCACCTCCTTCCCACCGTCTGGGACAGATTAGAAACAAAGACGCACCAGGAGTAAGTGCACGTGTGGAATATATACAAAGACTGGTCGGCAACTCTCCGGTGGGTTCACAGTTCGATGCAAGTGATGGTCGCTCCACGGTTTGTGTAATTAAACAACAAAATCAATAGAAAAGAATTAAGGAGATCCAGGGCAGCCGTTAAGAGGATATTTGCTTTCACACAATGAACTCCGCCCGCTCTGATCTGGTGTTTCCCACCGTGGGAAAAGTCCCATTGTACGCACAGGTAAAGAGGCGCGGGGTCGCATACCAGATGCGATATGAAACACAGCGCCGCGTACAGAAGCAACATCTGAGAAGTGTGGCATGTGCAGGGAAACGCAACTTCAACCACGCGGTCAAAGAGACTCGTTTAATAGACACTCGTGCAAAATTGATCGGCCTCCACCTCCACCGACCTCTTCCCGTGCACACGTCACGCACACAACAAGCCTCAGTGCTGCAGACACACACACGCAGGATCATTCAAAACGGACCACTCTCTCACTGCAGCCCCCCCGACGTCCTCTCACACGGCTCAGAAACACAACGCTATCATTTTATTTCTCCTGTGCTTTCCATAGAAGCAGGAGACGTGTTTGCGGCGGAGTCCGTTTCCTGACGGAGAGAAGGTCGCTGGCTACGGCGGTGCACCAGCGCCATCACGTGTAGCGGAGAGGAACGTCACGCAGCAGCTTAGTCGCTGCAGCAGAACACAGCGTGCACACACACACACACACACACAAACGTGCACAGGCAGCGCGCCGTGGGAGCCAGAGGGCGCAGCGAGAGCAGGACGGGTCTCACCGGGTAAGAACCGGACGAAGCGGGGCATGAAATGGAACCGCTGGCACCCGGAGGGCTCGAACTCCGGACCTGCAGGAAAGAGAAGAGGGTCGTTTGAGAAGGAGGAATACCAACTTGAATGTGCCGGTATAATCTCTAAACCAACATGAGACATGAGATGCTTGCACACGTTAGTGTTTTATAGTGACGCCAGTAGACTACATTTAAAACGTTTTATGGAAAGGATGTAACTAAATATTAGTTAACAATACAGGTAAGTAATAGGATGGAGGAATTGCCTGATATCATGACTTGAATTTTTAATTTTTATCAGTTACAAATATATTTAGGTAAACCAGACAAATGGCGGCGTGGCGCCTCAACTTCCCATAAAAACACGATGTGCATCAGGGGTCACCGCTAAACCCCTGCCGTGAGTGGCGCCGCCGTACCTGTCAGGTTCCAGTCATACAGCTCAAGCACGTCCTGGAACAAGTAGGAGGCAAACAGCTCCAGGCCTCGGACGCAGTAGTTCTGGACACGGGGGAGGGAGCGTCGAACAGAAAGACCGGATTAACGTATAGACATATAAATCCACTTCTTTAACTTTATCGCGTAAGCCACTTTATTGCCGTCATCGACCCCCCCCCCCCTGCAGGTTCAGAAAGACTCTTCTCCCTCTTCTAAGGGGATTAGAGGTGTGAGGGTGGCGTGCGGCTCAAGACGCCGTCGTTTTCAGATAAAAACAAAAGGGTGAGCGGGAGCCGCGAGATAAAGCCGGTTTTACTGACCTCCGGTGTCATCTCCTCTATGAAGTGGATGGTGTAATCTATGTTGAAGCGGATCACACGGCACAATGGGATCTGTGATGATGAAAGGGAGCAGAGGACGACTCATTACCACGGCGTTAGGCAGAGGTTACGGCTTTTCAGAGGGAACTCGTTGACAGGGAGAAAGAAGCTCACCCCAAAAACTGTATTGACGGTCATCACAGAAACTGCTGTTTGAACAATTTGAAAGAAAGCCGGATGTATGCAAACACTCACTCACACACACACACACGGTAACTTAAAATCCCACTAAATAGATAAGCCCTCTCCTCCGTGTTTAATCTCCCTGGTTACACGCTCTTTGTTGTTATAGCGCAGGGGGGTCCGTTTGAAGAGATTACCTGAGGGGGGGGGAGGATAACTAGCAGGCCACGCTCCGAGGTTCTACATCCCTGCACTGCCGCACAGCGTTCAGCGTGGCGCCTAACAAGGGCTGCTTAAATGATCCAGTTGGAATCAGGCCTAATCCTCCGGGCTCCCTTTTCCCGCTCTACGGATATTGACCGAGTAGTTCATTATTCTCAACTGGCAGGAATAAAACACACACACACACACACACTCAAGACAAGTGACAACGGACTGATTTCGGAAATATTCCACAGAGGCTCAGGTCTCTGCAGGATGAGAGCCTCCCCTGAGGCTGACTGGGCTAATCAAACCTTGCAGGACGGTGCTGCTTCACTGCAGAGAGAAACAAACACACACACACACACACACACACACACACACACAGAGAGACGAGGCGACGGGACGCACAACGGACATGGGATGGGGGGCTAAATTAAGGGGTGGGCTCCAGGCTCCTGAAGCTGAGAACACATTCAAGAACACCCAATATGAAAGTAGCTTACGTTGGTGAGGGGTTTGTGGGAGAAGAGGGAGAAGCCCTCGAACAAGTACTCGTGGTCGTCGTACTCGATCACCGTGGGCCTGTCGGTCTGAAACATACGCACGGAAATTACTCCCACTGTTCGCAGCGACTACTCCCATAAAACTAAAAAAAGGGGGCGTACCAGGAAGTTGGTGGGCGGAGACACGGTGATCCGGTAGTGGAACAACTTCCCCGCGTTGTTGTTCATTGGACGGCACGGCTTCACCGGCTGAGAGGAGCATTAGAACAACAAACCATAAGAAAACACACTGTGAAAAAAAGCACACGAGAGATCACACAGGGCCGACGTTATAATTGACATCCTCTTAATCAATGCGGTCACATGTCCTATATACTGTATGAACCCACGTAAAGCAATTAATTGACTAAGCATTTCCTGGTCAGCCACGGCGTAACATCCCATTAGATGACTAATCAACACCCAGGGGACTGTTCATTCAGAGAGGAGAAACCTGCTGAGTGCAACGCAGCAGCACAGCCTCCCTCCCTTTATAGGAACCACGAGATAAAGTGAAGGTAATGTGACATCATCATTTCATCCTTCTTGTCCTCTTTGATGCAATGCAGAGAATGCATTTTTTTAAGAGCTTGTCTAGAATAATACCCCCCCCTTCTCGGTGGCCCAACTTCAAGGTTAGGAAAGGGTGATTTATTCAGGGCGCGTCCTACCTCCTCCCCCGGGTAGATGCTGTGGCGGATCCCCGTCCGTCTGGCCTTGGCGCTGCACTTACACAAGGGGCCGTCGTTCATCTGGATGGACGGGAAGTACGTAAATCAGAACACCGCCGCTGCGACAAACACTCTGCTGACCTTTACTTTTCTACAGTGGCCGGATTGCGATATGCTGCCTTCTCGCTTCATAGTGGAGGGGAACTCACGGCACAACAGGAAGAAACTGGCGACGGTTTGTTCATTCGTAAAGAAGGTAAACAAACTCTCGGATAATCCTCAGAGAAAAAAATACTTTTTCAAATTGCGTGCCGTCAGATAACAGAGTTATTCCAAAAGGGCTCGAGCAGCAGGACCTGAACTTGACGCCCTCAATCAAGTGTTGCTGCAAAATGCGATAAGAGCGGCAAAAACGAGGGTGATTAGGGACGCGCGATAGAAATGACCCGCTGTGACCTCTCGGGTTATCGGGCCCTGGTGAAAGGTTACCGCGTACACCGGAGGCCGAGGACATCGAATTCTTACAACCTCACTGCATCAATATTCCCTGTGGCGTTTGTCGTCATCGTGTTCATTTTTGGGATAAAGAAACCGCCACCGACCTGCCCCGGGTCGTTGTACCACAGCTCCTCGTGCAGGCGGTCGGGGTGAGCCTTCTTCCTCTTGATCTCGGCGATGACGTCGAAGACGTCGGAGTCGGAGCTGCTGGAGCAGGAGCTCCCCTCGCCGTCCGACTCGCAGTCCGACTCGCTGCTGCTGTCGCCTGAGAGTGCAAAAAAAAAAAAAAAAAAAAGGGCCTTGAATCACGGGGGGTCGGAGGGGGAGACAACTGGATCATGATGCGTCTGAGCCGTGGAGGGTTCAGCGCTTAAGCTCTCCGGCTCAGCTGTGCCCTCAATAAGTATTATTCAACATTAAGTCTCAGCGAGAAATGATTTTAAATCATCCGCGCGATGTTGGTGACACAGCAAAAAGTTCCACATCGGTTGCCTTGAAGGAATTTTCTCTGTGTTATAAAGCAGAGTGTGACATACTAATTCAGCGTAGAAATATTCTTCTTCAGTACGACTTCTGGCCAAACGAGATTAGCACCACGGTTTGCCAGTGTTGACATCTGGCCCTCCGGTTTTCTCTCACGTTTTCCTCAGCGAGCACCACAATGAGGATTATAACTACCAGCTCAGCTGTGCAGTTTGTGCAAAGTCTTCAACTCTTATCGGAGGCTGTGTTTTTTTTGTTTTTTTGTTTTTTTAGGTCAAGCGCTCGTCTGTGACGATAGCATCGTGGAACCCGGAGCCCCGCTGAGGAGACAGAGACTTCTCATGCGCGTCAATCACGACAGACGTGTCAGCTGTTTGCACTTGAACCGAACAAGGAGCTTACGAAGGCAGAGCACCGGGTCGGCTTTAGAGGGCGCAGAAAACCACTCAGAGCAGAAACAACACTCATTATTCTACTTTGTACCCAACTAGTTTTGCAGGTCTGCACACCTGGATCCTCATCCAGTTTGGTCTTGGGCGGGTCCCACATGGGACGGATGGACTTGGCTCTCTCTTGTCTCCTCCCCAGCTCCTGCTCAAAGCGCTCGTACAGCTCCCGCAGTTTACTGGTCCCCACCACAGTGGAGTCTCCCTGAACACAACACGGGCAGGACAGGTGAAAGACGCACGTAAGACATCTATTCTCACGCCCATGTTGCAATATTTCTGCATTCTTGATTGATGAACGAGAGAGAACAAATGTAGTAAAATGGGAATGTGTGTGTATTTACTCAAGGTTGTGTTTACTATGTAACAAAGCTTTACACAAATTTTAGCAATTCAGTTGAACTTAATCATTGCGTAGCTTACAGGTGTTCGGGCAGGTTGCATTCAGGGACACCCCCCTGCTGCGAGCTGCCACAAAGCACCAGTGGGATGCAACGCTCTTTTGGGAAGGTGATAGTGACTCCAAAAGGTGGATATTTGCCTTCACTTTCACCGTCTTCGGCAGAATATGTAATTTGTGGATAAATGAAAGTTTGCTGACAGCGTGAAGCAAACAACGGTGAGAGCTTCAGAGAAGAAACGCATGTGAAAGGACAGATGGGGACAAATGGGAGACATCTTAATGGCTGTGGTCAGAGTCTGAAACGCTCACTAAGGGTTCCATTACAACAAGCGATTAATAGGACAGATTCATCAGGTCAGACGTGAGCGTACCACTTGGTCCATGGGGTCATTGGAGTAGTTGTTCTCAGCATGAGTGCAGCGGATCCAGGCAGGCTTCAGCAGCTGTTGTTCATCCTTCTCGTCCTCCCCCCTCTCCCTCTCCCGGTCTCTGTCGGAGGGGGGGGCCTCCTCGGAGTCTCTGCTCCTGGCGGAGGAGTAGCCGCGCTCTCTGCTGCTCAGGCCCGAGGAGCTCTCAGACCTCCGGTCCCTCTCCTCCTCCCAGCGGCCACGTTTCCTGTCTCGGCTCGAGGACCGACTGCCGAGCACAGACACGTTTAAACAGGAGGTGGTCATGTGACCAATAGCACCAAGCAGAGGTGATGTTAAACACAGGGAGGGCCTCTGCATGAGCTTTGCACAGCCTGGACTGTTGTTATTAACAAAACACTTGAACTTAATCCTAACGTGAACCGGAGCCAAATAGTGTGGAAAATAATCAGAACTCCATTTATTGCTTTACACAAGTTTGTGTGAGACAAATAATCTTTATTATTGTTTACCTGCGAGGCCTCTTTCGGTGCCGGTCGGGGGACTGGGACCTCTGGGTCTCTCTGTGCCGATACCTCTCCCTGCGAACCAACACGCATGGCAGTCAGAAAAAAACAGATTTCACAGCCGGGTCGCATGTCGGGAGAGCGGCTGCCGTTACCTGCTCCGATCCCGGCTCCTGTGTCTGGGGGACGCCCGGCCTCTGTCGTACTCAGACCTGTACCGCCCCCCCTCCGGCCTGCCGCGCTTGTCAGGACTCCGCCCGCGGTCCTTCCTCTCTCCGGGGAATTCCATTTTGTGGCGGTCACCGGAGCCCCCGTAGCCGTAGCCCTTCTGCCTGTGGTCCTCGTGGCGGTACCCTCTCTCCGGCGACCTCCTGTTGTCCATGGGCTTCTCGTACTTGTATGGCCCCCCGTGCCTAAAGCTGTTGACCGGTTTGAATGAGGTGGCGCTCTGATTGTAGCCAGGGCTGAAGGGGGGCGGAGGGAAGGGAGGGTGAAGAGGATGGGGGTAGTTCATGGAGTACGGAGAGTGGTAGCTCATAGACTGTGAAGTCATGGGGGGTGGCATGGATGGGTGTGGCATCGGCGGCGGCGGCACAGGCGGCATCATGTACGGGTGGTAGGCGTTCTGAGCAGACACCTGGGACCCTGGCGTGGGACCCCCCGCGGAGCTGGGGATGGGGGGAGGAGGGAAGTTAGGCGGGGGTTCCAGGAAGCCCTGCCTGAGGGGGGGCTTGGGGAAAGGCGGGCGCACCGGGCACTGGTTGAGGGAGCTGGGAGTCGGGGACGGCGCCGGTGGAGGGTAGTGCATGAAGTCGGTGTGCGGAGGCATGTAGCCGCTGTTTCCATGGTAACTGGAACTGGGAGGAGCCTGAGGGTCGTAGTGGTACTGGGCGACAGGAGGCTGGGGCGGCAGCGGCCTCAGGTTGGTGGGTCGGTAGTTCTGAGGGGAGCCGTGCTGGCCTGGAGGCGCTCCCCCCCTGGGGCTCCCGCGGTCCTGATGGAAAGACATGACTGTGGACAGAAACGTTCAATGAACCCGGAAGTAGAGGAACGGAAGTTAGAGGAAGGTTTTACTCTCTTTTACTATTGGTGCCTGCAGCGACCTATAAGTATGAACCCGGGGGTTTGAAACAGGAAACATGCAAACCTCTGAGCGAATTTAAAGCTTGTCTTGCTGCTAGTTTCTCAGATAATACCTGTTATTATTAGCGTTTCTGCTGCTTTGCCAGTAACTCGTCTAGCTGCGTTTTTATTCTACTATAACGTTGTAATGTTATCGTTTTTCTTGTTGAAGAGATCTCAATTAAACATGAAACGAAGCTCAGTAACTACTTTATTATTAATTTAGTCTGTATTACTCGTGCAACGTTAACTCGTTATTTGGTTAGCAGTGTATAATAAGCGAGCAGAATACCGTTAAACGTCTCGCTCCCGGTAATGTAACGTTAGCTGATTAGCATCACCAGCTAGCTACTGTTAGCCACAGCATATGTCATTTTTCCATTGCATGCATAGAGTCGCTCACTTAATGTAAGTTTTAGAGAAGTCCCCCTCTAGGAATGTGACCGTTAATACTACCTTTGAGCTAAGAGCAGCGGGAATGTTAAAGCGGCGACCCGGTGACAACACGCTAGCAAACCTGCTAGCACATCATGACAGCGTAAGTTAAAGAAATTACCTTTAAAAAATGGTAGCTCTAAAAACTGAAGCGTGTCATCCCGTCTTCACTACTAGTTCAATAGTCTAAAATTAACGCCACGTAAATTGTAAACAGAGTAAGGTAAATTGAGCTTTAGCAATGCGACGCCGTATCTATTAGGGTACCACGTTTGCTGTGCAACCATGTTTCCGGTCGGACAGGTTAGCGAGAGTACCAAGGATTGACCAATCAAATTTCGCCATTCGGTCGTTGGCCAATGAAATACAGGCGGGCTTTAACAACGGTTCCCTCCCGGGCCGCAGCAGCAGGAGCACCGCCGGAGCGCTCAAACAACCCGCGGAATCTAATATTATATTACTGAAATCTGTATGATTATTATGTTTTACACGTACTAATGTTTAAGTGAAATATCACCGCGTGACATGTATTTAATTTTCTTTCTTTAAATATTACGTCTAAAATGAATCCACAATTAAGCACATTGTATTTACTAACTGTTAACCGAGGAATACATGTAAAGAGGTCAATGAAACAAAAGATAAAGGTTTTTATCTCATAACCAAATAATCGTTTGATATCTTAATTTGTTTCTGACAATTGTGTTTCTCTATTTTCTTAGCAAAATAAAACATTTGAAAAGTGAAATATACCATTTTCACTTGGTTGTATCTCATTTAAAAGTGTACTTAAACATCTTATTTTAGATTTGACTGTGTGCTCGGTTACGGTAACACAGTTTGGCGTTTTTATTGGCTAAATAAAACATTTTAAAACCTTGTTACCGTGCAGCTTTGCCATGCGTCCACCAGAGAGCAGCAGAAGATTGATTGAGGATCTCAGTGAATTACTCACCATCACCATGGAAACATGGAGGCAATAACATATCATTCATGTCTTAAGCAAGGTCAGAGTGCAGAAGCCCACACAGTTCCCACCACCCTGGAGAACAAGTATGTGGGCACAACTGGTGGCAAAAAGGTCGGTTCTTCAACTTCTGCTCTGAGGTTGTTTTACAGAAACATTGTGGCGACTATTTGAGGAAAAAACATTTACTGTTTCTTCATGACAAAGTTCCCGTATACAAATCCAGGAACACAGACAGCACTGACATCATCCAGCACTCGAGCAATCAGATCCAGATCCCAAAGAGAAGCGCTACAACACAACCAGAATTGTCGAGAACTACAAGTACAAATATTATTCCACATATTTAGGTTGAGGGCAGTTTGTGCTTAAGGTTTTCTGCTAATTGCCGGTCTTTTAATTAACCGCTGTGCCTATTGAAGGAACACAAATAAATGTTTATTTTACGGTGGATTCTCCCTTTCAACCGCCTGCCGGTTCCTTCTGAATCGAGCTATCCAAGCCAATAAGCAATGAACACCTGCCGCAGGTGATTTACTTTTTCTATGGCTCACATTAGTTCTCCTCTGAGATGCCTGATGGTCAGCACCACTTCATTGTGATTCCCTTCAGGTCGAGCAGCATCAATATTCTCTGGCTTTTCGAGGGTCGCGCCCTCTCTTCCTCCGAAGGAAAGATGAAGGAGAATGAGAAAGAAGAGATATGTCACACCTGGCACCACCTTACATGTCATTTTAAATATTAATAGAGACATAACGGGCAGGGACGGGGTCACTGGGTGTCACTTCTGAGCCGGGATGTGCGCAGCAGAAATCACAGCACAGCTGAGCTCACCTGGACACCACACGGCTATGCAGATATAAAAAGAGAACCCACATATAATCTATCAACGACTCAGCGGTTCGTAATAAAAGTGGGGTTTCGGCTCTGCGAGGAAGCGGCCTCTGAGAGGTCCGAGGGAATGACACATCCTCTTCTCCATCCAGCTTGAGCCCGACAATACAAGATGAACGGGTATAAAAAGGAGCTGAAGAGCCTCGACTACACTGAAGCTCTAAGACGGGTTCCTCGATAAAGTGATGGAAGGGTTTTCTATTAGCTTTGGTTTCTCTGCTGCATCTTCTTTTCCAAAACTGTTATCGCAGATCTCATAGACGCACATCTCAGACAGACGCACATCTCAGGCAGACGCACATCTCAGGCAGACGCACATCTCAGGCAGACGCACATCTCAGGCAGACGCACATCTCAGGCAGACGCACATCTCAGGCAGACGCACATCTCAGGCAGACAAGAAAAGAAAGAGAGACAACCGTTTTCTGCAACTTGCACAACGACCACTTGCAATCTGAGCTTTATTCTGAGCTTCCAAACTTCCTTTCAAGGATGCAGTGTCGGTTTTCTGTGATATCTTTTTCAGATGGTTGTGTTTGACTGTGTGTGGACGCCCAAAGGTGACGGTAGCTGTTACACATGGCTGGTGTGTTGTTCTGAGTTTGTCAGACATTCTGTCATTGTGTCACTTAAAGTCTCTTTCACATGTAACGTCTCTTCATCATGTTTCTTTGCAGCTGTTCATCTCTTTGTTTTGGTCTCTTTGGAGTTGTCTAATGATTCTTTGGAGTCATTTTGAGTCTCTTCCGCGTCTCTTTGACTGATAATAATTCAATCATTTGTGAATTAGACGACATGCTGTGATGTTTTATGCTTGTGGGAGTGTCTCATTTTGTTCAGTTTAGGCCTGTTTTGTAACTTGGAACTCCTCAATGGACAAATGTATCTAAGAGAGCAAAGAAAAGAATAATACTGTGAGCGTGATTCATTATACAACGTTATAAAATGAAGGGCCGTTGAGTCGCTGGCTCCCATGTTCCTCTCATCATGTAGAACATGAACGTGTTCTGCTCCTGCCGCCCTCGTGTCCTTCTAATGAAGGTTTTCAGCCTCCACGTAACTTGAGATAATTTGGCTGAGTTCGGAAAAACGTATTTGCGTTACGTGAACAAACCAAAGAGGCGTAATGTGTTTGCATAATATTCTCAGTATTGATCCATTTGGAATTAGATTCGTTTCTCAGATTTGGCAAATAAGCTTCATCACTTTCTTAATGAGACTTCAAGAAGAGCAAAAGATCTTCATGAATCCTGCATTAGTTTGAAGGGTCATGTACTCTGTACCTGATGAAAAATGCAAAACAAAGTTATTTTAGCCTGAGGATTCTATTAGATAAACAGTTCAAATTACCATTAGAAGATATTCAAACTCTCTCGCCTGCTTATATAATTCTTAATGATTTAAGTATCTCAGCGAGTTTTAGAAAATATGTTGAACTTGGCAAATATAAGATTAGACTCTCTTTCCCTGAACAGCGCCGGGATATTTGTGAAGGTGGTGACCTCTGACCTCATAAATTCTAACATTGTTGCTGCTGCTGGAGGGAACCGATGTAACACAAAGTACACGCTGAGATCTGGTACGGACACATACACATGTTTGAATGCTGCTTTATCCTAATTAGAGTAACTGAATTCATGGTGTTTAAACAACAAGTTTACATTTAGATATATGAGGACAGCACTGGGAAGATGTGACAGGAGCTAGACTCTGAAACTGGTAATATTATTCATACGTTCTGTAGATTACAGACTTCATCACCACCCAAAAACAAGTGCTTTGTTTTTCAGCATAACGGAAACATCTGTTTGTATTTAACTTTCAATAACTCTGATATCCAGTTTCACTTAAAAACAACACCATAATAACCTGAAAAGTTGGTAATGTCCATATATTTGTGGAGCAGACGTTGACGTGTCAGTAATAGAGTCTGCAGACAGTGTTGCATTATGGGTTGTTTGCAGTCATAACAAACAACTTCCAGGTTAATGGCGTATTTGAAGTCCGTTGACTGTGTCTATAAAGTGAGTTAGCTGTAAAAGTGCTCCGACGGCTCGGCCCATTTGCCTTAAATGCAGGGCTGCTTGCAGAGCATCACGACACCATTTCACGCTAAATGTGACAACGATGGCGACTAAAACCACAGGACTTGAAGAACAACTGGCGCGTTTGAGTCTTCAGCGACCGATGTCGACCGGGTGTGGATGATGATGTCGTCTCGTAGAGCAGCGTGCGCTCACATCAGTCGGCATCCGTCCTCTCGCTCGGTGTGCGCACACATCGAAACCCGTCATTACCAGAGCTAACATGCAGAGAAAAGGCATGTTCTTCCCCTGCAAAAAAAAGATGATGAATTTCAGTGGAGTGCTGGGAAGAGGAAATGATTTCAACAGAAAAGAGGGGTGAGGAGGTGCACTTTGATGTTCCCTGGTTAAGTGCCGAGGCGGACATTGTTGCCGTGAGCATGTTGCCATTACCTCAGTGTCCAAAAAGCATCTGCTTAACCAGCAGCCCAGAAAACAGTGGTTCCATTGAAGGGTTTGCATGCTGGAGTATGACTGTCGAGAGCTGCAAAGGCCACTGCAACCACGTCCCCCTTCCTCCCTTTACTCCCCGTGTTAAAGCAGAAGGTCTGGTTTCTTCTGCTGGTGACCACTTCATGCATCGTAATACTAAACGCATGCTTCGTGGGCCTGCATGCTGCACCCCGATTAGTGATTCCTAATCAAACGTCACCATCATGCATTTCTGCAAGTCTCCCCCCACATTAGAAGTGAATTAGATTAGATGATTTTTTGCATTAGGTCCGATTAGGTGATGCAGGACATTTATGTAAAGTTGGTGCTTCCAGGGCTCCAGAGACTAAACGTGTGGTTCCGCAGCGCGGTGTTTACCGCCTGTGGGCCGGTGCGTGCCGCCTCCTCGCCGCCGTCCGTTAGCTCCAAAGTGCAGGTCAGAGCCTCGGTGAGTCAGCTCGTCTGCGGCTCCGGGAGGCGGTGGGAGGGCGCGCATCTCTACAAGGAAACTCAAAAGTAACGATTCAGCCAAACCTCTCAACAAGAATGCTGTTGACAGAAATGTAACTTTATTTATTGGATTTCAGCAGTAATCTGTTGTTGTGTGTTTTTACTTTATTAATCTGTTTTTTATATCCATGATCCATTATTTTTATTGTTGGTAATGGCCTGGTCATTACTGTTTATTAGTTAAACAGCTTCTCTGTGAATACAAGGGACACGACGCAGTTTCAATGCCACCTTATCTTTGGAACCAAGGATACTTATCTAAGCACATTCCATCCGTATATCTTGTCTCCTTGGTTACGACGTGCGATTCGCCTACTGAGAGAGGTCCCAAAGTCCTTTTACAGGTTCTAACCAGAGTCGTAATCGTTTTCTAAACATAACTAAGATGGTTCCTTTAGAAAAGGTCGTGTTCTGGTTTGTGGGGAATCCAACTCTA